AGCTGAAATGATGTTTATTTTGTCTTTTTCAGTGTCATCTTTAGTTTCTGATTTATGATACTCCTGCAACACATAAGAATCTATACTTTTGAAAGTAACAATGTCCTTAGTTCCAGCAATGGTGCCAATAAAGATTTCATTCTCAAAATGGTATAAGGTTCTGAATATTCTGAATAAGGTTCATAATACTCACAGGTTGTAGGAAGAAATTATTTCATCTTATATATTTAAAAAATTTGGATGTTCTTTTCCGAGTTTGTTTGGCTCAGATACCTGACTGATTTTCATGATCAGCATATATTTATCTATAATTCCACTCGGCTTATAGGTATATAAAATTTTCCCTCCATGTATTTCTAATCGGAGTTAAATTTGGTTTCTCTTTTCCGAGTTCGTTTGGCTCTTCTTACCGACCGATTTTCATGATTGAGGTCTCAAATTTAAGGTATGCACATACAGATGTGCCATAAAGCATCGACATATATTTATCTATAATACCACTCGGTTTTTTTTTTTAAGAGAGGGCCAGGCTTACAAGCGACCATGGAATTGCATCGCAGCTAGAACAGCTTATTGTGCACCCTCATTCACAGGTCCTCCTTCTGCATCAAATCCCAGGTCCTTAGTGAGAACCTTTTGACTATGGTAACCTGTTCTTCCCTTTCATCTCCCGTCAATAGGCCAAGGGATCTCATACGCAGACCTTGTAGGGCTGGGCACATAAATATTACAAAACGCTGATATCTTCACAGCTTTCACAAGGACTCTGGCTGGGGCAAGCTGTAGTGAGATTTCCCTGAAGGGACTCAGCTCCTGAACTTGCTTAACCAGTCAATCCTTTGTGGCTGCGTTAGCACACCCAACTACCAAGGCTCCGCCTTCAAGATGGCAGCTGCTTATCCTGACGTCTTTGCCACGAAAGACCCACCTGGACAGCTCCCCCTTGATTTTATTACCTTAAGCCTCCATCTGTTTCCTGTCCTGGTGTTCAGATTTGGCGAGAGCCATCTTGCTCCACAGACAGTGTCTCCGAATAGGCGGGTTCTGGTGCTCTGTGAAACACCCGAGCCCTCTCCCTCTTCCGTTCTCGTCTTCTTTTTCTCGCCCCAGACATCCTCATGTGTCAGGTACTCTCGCCCCCTCTTTCCACCTTTCTTCCTGGAGGCTTCATTAGAGTCAGGTTTGGGGGTTCCGCCCTCGCCCTGCTTTTTTCCCCCAGCATTCTGGTTCTCAGAGGAACTAGCTTTGCAGGGAGAAGAGTTAGGGTGCTTGGCAGCCCACACCAGCCTCCTCTCACTTCTGGATGGCACATTTTTGCCTTTATCTAAAGCATCCGCTATCCTCCGTCTTCGCAACTCGCCCCTGGAAAGTTGTTTTTTTTTCCTTTCCGGTTTCTGCGAGCTTATTGTGATCGTCAGATTTCAGTAGACCTTCCTCCTCCATTGGGGTCAGTTTGTCTACGTTGTTCCCACAAATACCGGGTATCTAAGGTCGACCTCCCCAGTGACCCGATTAGAGGGGTAAGGGGTGCATACGACTGGGTTCACCCTGATTCCCAAAAAGCTCCGTTAAGACACTGAATATTAGGCCCCCAGTGCCACAAGACTCTCGGCACGGATCACATTACACCTTAGTCTAGGGCCCCCCTCACTTGGTTATGTAGGTGGACCTACACCCAGTGGCAGAAGGTAGCTCTCCGCAGCTAACAAGTGAGAGTTGGGGATTAGGTGTTGCCAATCTGCCAAACCAACCCCGCATGCGAGGTTTGGCCGGAACGGTACGAAAGGTTGTCACTCAGCTTGTTGGTGAACAAAATTTGCTCCCCATATATTTCTTATAGGAGTTAAATTTGGTTTCTCTTTTCCGAGTTTGTTTGCCTCTTCTACCCGACTGATTTTCGTGATTGAGGTCTCAAACTGAAGGTATGCATGCACAGATTTGCCGACAAGCATTGGCATATATTTACCTACTGTACTCAACCAAAAACATAATTTGACTCATTTTTGAATTCTTACTTCAATTTAAGATGCATTTCACCAGTTATAATGATATAATCCTATATATTTTGGTCTAAGGACCTTCAGTGAAATACAGGCTTTCATTAAGCTATTAGTTATTCAAATCAGACAAGTGTCACGCAAACAAAAGGTGAACAACCAACATACAAGTTATTTTTCATAAGGATTTTCTATGATTAAAAATGAATAGCTCCAGTATCATTCATTTTTTTTATATGTTTTAGACTCAATATATTCAGTAAACTATAGGCTTTAATTTGAGCTATTGATCGTTTGAATCAGTTAATATCAAACTGTATTACTCAATCAAAAATCATAAGTTATCTCTTGGATATTATTTATTTTATCCATCCCATTCGCCTATTGGGTCTGATGATGATTGGAGTGTCAAATCGAAATCGATCACCACTTACCATCTTTTGTATATTTACCATCTTGTGAGTAACAGTATAAGCGTAAATATATGTTTTAAGTGTTATAAGACGTATCTTTATTTACTTTCCATAAATTTAATAACATGTACAATGCTGATCAAGAAGTTATTTATTTATTTTAACGCTGCGGAGCAGCATGGGTCCTCTAGTTTTATTAGTTAAGTCACTGATGGTTAATTGTTCTTCATTGTTTTCTCTTGTGTATATTGCAACTTTAAAAAATGCTTCATGGCATACTTAATCTTCTGGGCGCCCTGGCGGAGCTTTAGGGACGTCTCTAAATTGCTGTGGTACAGATTTTCCATTTCTAAAGTTTACTAAGCTTTGTCATAATAAGCTTTGTTAAGCTGTTTACTAAGCTTCTAATAACAAGCTTCACAGCAGGCAAATCATACACAACCATCATAACAAGGCATATTTTTCCTTTTTCAGCTCATTCAACATTACGTTCGATGCACTTTTCTAGCACTGATATTCTTAAGTTTAGCGTCTGAGCTTCGAACCATTCTTTTTTCATCTCTTTATATGTTAAGCTTAATTCAGCTGTGCACAAAAAAAAAACAATTACTTTTGAAATCAAAATAGGATTCACTAAACGAGAACAACTGGTTTCATTCTCATGCTTTTTGATTGGAGACTTTAAGTTAATAAACTGTGCTCTACATTTTTATGAACTTTTTGTCTAACAGTTACATAGAATTCAGATATTTTTCTTGCCTTGCAGGTTTGGTGTATTCCTTCAATTCCTTTTACTTTCTCCCCCTATACCATAGTATATGGAGAAAGTATTGTTTTCGTCAAAATTTTCGAGTTTGAGTTTTGAGTGGATATATTTGTTTTGGGTCCCCCTGGACCCAAAAAAGTGGTTTTCGAAGTGATGTCTGTGTGTGTGTGTGTGTGTGTGTGTGTGTGTGTGTGTGTGTCTGTGTGTCTGGATGTGTACAGAGCTAGAGACTACACCTGTGGTCCGATTTCGATTAAATTTGGTATGTAGGTTCTAATCCATGGTATCTCCAGGCGTTTTTTTCATTTTTTTGAAATTTTGATTTTTAATGGGGATTTTCCCATAAAAACCCATAAAAAACCGGAAAAATCGGATTTTCTCAAAAATGGCCCGAACGATTTTGATTAAAATTTAGTATGTTGTAGCCCTTAAAATTTTGAACAAAATGGTACAAATCCCATTTCTGTAAAAATTACGGTTCAAAAGTTATGGTAAATTATGTTTTTTTCCCATAAAAACCCCATAAAATAACGAAAAATAGGATTTTAGACAAAAATCCAGTTTTTATTTAACATAGTAGGTTATGGTCCTTACAATTTTGATAGTTTTTTCATTTTTTTAGAAATTTTGATTTTAGATGGGGATTTTCCCATAAAACCCCATAAAATAACGGAAAAATAGGATTTTCCCAAAAATGGCCTGAACAATTTTGATAAACATTTAGTATGTTTATAGTCCGTTATATTCTGAACGAAATGGTACAAATCCCATTTCTGTATAAATTACAGTTCAAAAGTTATTGCAATGTTATTTTCCCATAAAAACCCCATAACATAACGGAAAAATCACATTTCCCCAAAAATGGCCTGAACGATTTTGATAAAAATTTTGCATGTCCTTTAAATTCTGGACTAAATTGTACAAATCCCATTTCCGTGTATTTACTCTCACCGGTTAAACATGATAAAGGTTGTTGACAAACTTATGGGAGAAAGTATGTGTCAGAATGCTGATAACGTTTATTCAGTAAGAGATGACACCTCACAACTACTGTCTCTGGAGGGATTGTTACAATAAGGTTTACTAATCTATCTGATTAAGAGAGGTCAGCAAGAAGCACAAACACAAACAGAATTCTTTATTATCCTCCAAAGAAAAACTACTGTACACAGTGTTAGATCAGGTGAATACGAAGGGTGTACAAAACAATATCTGTGGATTAGATAATTAGGTACCGTACAATGACAATCATTTGTCATCAAAACTGATGCTTAACCACAGTGTATTTTAGACATTTGCAACCGTAAGTTTTATGTGATGAATATTATAAAGAGTAAAAACACCAATATTTATTTTGAAAGCTAAATATTTGGAGTAGACATCCCATTTACCAACTGAAGCAATTTTTTTACGGAAAAAGAAATAACATTGATGAATGGCCAACTAGCAGAGTATACAACAGTCCCTATCTTTTTGATTCTGTGATAGTTGCTGTGATGTAACACCTGCGTAATTTAAAATAGAAATTGTACTTGAAGATTGACTTGGTTAAAAAAATTGGCGTTATTCAATAGAAGTCAATCAATTCACATCAGCATACTATGACAGTGTTATCAATTAGGTTTATTTTGAAGTGGCTTAAGGTTTAACATGGGAATAATGTCAAATTTTTTGATAGCCAAAGGCTAAATATAAAGATTCACTCTACAGAGATTATTAGATACACTATGGTATAGTGTACCATAGACTAGTTACAGTTATGGCAACTAATAGCTACTAATAGCAACTAATACATTATATAACTAATACTAATATATAGATTACCTCGAGACAGGCACTGTTGGCCCGGGCCAGGTAGGGATCTGTGTCTGTACCGATGCCTAAGCCGAGCCAGTCCAGCAGATGTTTGCCTCCACGACGGCCCTCTCCATCCTGGACCTCCTCTACCTTGACATTGCTGCTGTTGGTCCTAGCTTGTGATATGTTTGGCGGATGATCTGTAGGAAAACTCACTTTGTCGTCCGCATTCATCACATAGATAGCTGCCAGAACACCCACCAGTACAGTCCAGATTCTTCCTTCCATTATCACCTGCAATAATAAGTTTGGGCTACTTTTTGTTTTTATGACCTCAGAGTCCAAAAACACAATTTGTGTATTTTTTATAGTAGTGTAGCTGTTGCTCAAAATCGAGGAATTTCCGAGTATACCTGTGTTACAGGATTAATTTTAAAACAAAACTAATGTCAGTCATAATTTTTAATGAGATTAAAAGACTCAACTGAAAGATTATGCAACTAATGGAAATACTCACGCTGTTCATAACAGTTCTATATAATCAAAATTTCTCGTAAATATTGGATTATTTTTCAGAAGTTGAGCTTGTTTCTTTTGTATTTTGTGAAATGCATCAAATTGCCCAGGCTTTCTCGATTTTTCCATTATAATATGTACGCAAACTCAGATTCAAATTAGTAAATATTTCATTTAATCCGAGTCCGTAAATATGTGTGACACGGGCGTGTTTCCTTGAATTGCAACTCAAAATGTTAACAGCAATTAAATTATCCAGCTGATCATAATGTAAACAAACAATGATAACATTAGAGCTTTAAAAGCCACTGGAGCAGAGTCCAGGGGACTTTTTTTAATATGTAAGACCATAGACTAACGAACACAAGTAGACTTCTCATCCCATTGTAAATTTTGAAGCTCGTTTTTCATATCTAGTTCATGTACGCCACACTGGGCGCTAGTGTCGACGAAATTTTGTTTATATTATTTTAGGATTAATTTCTTGATTTGTGCTTTACTGTTTGGTTAAATAACTAGGGGACAATTTATTGTTTATGATTAGATCGTATTATTTGGTTAAACGAGGTTTTAAATGACTGTATTAACGGGAAACAAATTGTAAACAAAACACGACCTCTAACATAAACCGTACAGAACTAACAATAAAATTGTCTTCAGCTGTTCCATTAGGATGAGAAATCTACTAAGGGAGTATGTTTTATCTATGGTAAGACCTTATATATGACATCTACTCAATGAGATCTTTCCAGTGAGCCGGAGGAGTTCTGCCGACAAAAATCGTGTCTATGCCTATTTCATATATACATATTTGTGTATATATATATACCTATATATTGTTGAATGTAATTTAATTTTATATAATATGTTTGCTGTTACTTGTTCTGTATTTTAATTTATGTTGGTAACAGCTGATCATGTGTAAATAGTTAGGATTGTTTTTATTGTAATGAGAATTGTTGAATAAGTTATGTTTGAGTAAAAAATGTTGTGTGTGTACTTCAGTAAAATAAAAGATAATTATTGTAACAGTAAAACCTTAGGTGTTAGTAATTTACTTTCACTTAAGTCAACAGGTTATGGGCCCAGAAAAATTCATTAATTCAACCATAACTGTAAAACCAAGAAGTAATCTTCTAGTAAAACCCCAAGAGTTAAAGTGTAGTGAAGGTGAGTGAAATAAAAGTAAGACTAACAATGGCATCAGTAAAAGAAGATGATTTTGTAGAAAAACTCAAAGGAGTTGAAACTTTTCCATTGTGGAAATTTCAGATTAAAATAATATTTCAATCCAGTGAATTGATGAGTATTGTTGATGGTTCTGAGAAACTTGAAGATATGGGCGATGGAAAGAAGAAGGCTGATTGGATTAAAAGAGATGCCAAGGCTCAGAAGTGTATAGTTAGTTCTATTGAGAAGGGACCGATGTTACATATCATTAACTGTGAAAACTCAAGAGAAATGTTTTTGAAGCTGTGTAATATTTATGAAAGAGACTCAGAGCAGCAGAAGTACTCGTTATTACAAGAATTCTTTAACCTCAGGTATGAGCCTAATTCTGATATAAGTTCTCACATAAGTAGAATTGAAAACATAGCACACAGACTAAAAACTTTAAAACAAGATATTGATGACAAAATGATAATATCAAAAATTCTTGTCAGTCTGCCAGATAGATTTAAGTATTTTGTAACTGCCTGGGAATCAATGCCCAATGAAGAAAAGACATTGGCAAATCTAACAGCGAGACTGTTAGCAGAAGAGTCAAGAAGTGAGTTAAAGGAGGTAAGCCTAGAGAAAAATCTTGCGTTCCAAGTTGTTTGTCACAACTGTAAAATTCCAGGCCATAAAGCAAAGTACTGCAAGAAGCCTACATACAATAGGGCTAACTCTGATAATGAAAGGCGATGTTTTAAATGCAATGCTGTTGGTCATTTAGCAAACACCTGTGGAAATGTAAAAAATTTTGTTAACAAGTTTGAAAAAAGAAATGTAAAGCCAAATTTATTTTGTAATATATGTAAAAAGTCAAATCATAATGAAAAAGATTGTTACTTTAGAAAAAGCCAGAACCTAAATGTCGCTAGTAAAACTGTGTCTTTTTTGTCGTATGATGATGGACAAAATGTTCGGGGTAATAGTGGGACTGTAAACTTTGTATCTGAATGGGTTGTTGATTCAGGCACATCTTCACATATAACAAATTGTGAAGATTTGTTAAGTAATAAACCAAATATTTCTTCTGAAATATATGTTGCTAAGAAAAATCAAACCATGTTAGCTTCAACGAGTGGAACTGTAAAATCCAAAGAATGTATCCTGAATAATGTGCTATATGTTCCTGATCTCAGTGAAAACTTGTTGTCTGTTTCTGCAATAACTAATAATGGTGGTGAGGTTACTTTCTCTGAAAATACAACAGAGAATGACCAGAAAGGAGACAAAAATGAAAATGACAAGATACCCCCGCCGCAGCAAACCTGCCGTCTAAGCGAATTTCCATTTGGCTGAATTGATTTTCAATTGGTCTATTTAAATAACATTAGGTTTAACGAGTACCTAGGTTTGCTGCTACAAGGAAACTAATAAATAGTGTGTTTTAAGTAAAATAATTATTGCTTAGTATAAAATGAATATATTTGCCAAGTTTGATCAAAAGATATCCATAAACAAGCAAACTACAACATTTTACAATATTCTCCATAAGAATAACATGGGAATTTTAAATTTAAATTTTTTTTTGTTTTCTCCGTAACCAATAACCGTACAAAAACACTTTGATATACTGAATTGTTTGTTTTTTTAAGCTCTTTAAGAAGGTTTAGAGAAAAATTGGAAAATTTTGTGTTTTGAGGGTCAAAAGTGAGAAAAACCAATTTTTACCCCATAAAACCCCCCATAAAATCCTGTTCCCATGGTCCGATCATGCTGGATCGCGAACTCATTCAAGTTTATCCCGCCTTACACCTTCAAACCAAATTTCATCAAAATCGGATAAAAATTACTCAAGTTATCGTGTTCACGGACACATATATATATAAATCTATATATATATCTATATATATATATATACATATATACAAATTTGAACGAATGGTGTTTTTGGCCTCTGGGGACATCAAAATGAAAAAGTAAATCGGTCCCGGGCCTAAGTCTTACCATGAGACCTACGGTAATAGCTACTTCCCTATAGGGAAATTCGCTAAAAGAAGACAAAAATGAAAATGACCAGAAAGAAGACGAAAATGAAAATGAATATATTGAGAGTGCAGATAATCTAAGTCTGATAAGTAATAATGAAGTAGAGTTTGAGTTGGTTTCAGACAAAAATTAAATTAATGAAGAACAGCCAAGTTCAAGTAATACTGATTCCACACAAAACATCAAACTAAGAAGAAAAACTAAACTACCTGAAAGATATAAAGATTTTGTGATGTTGACATATGAAGAAGCAATCAAAGGACCAGATAAAAAGAATTGGCTACAAGCAATTGAGGATGAGAAAAACTCCCTTATTGAGAATGAAACGTGGGAAGTGGTTGACAAAAAGCAAGCACTAAACAAGAAGATCCTAAGTAACAAGTGGGTATTAACAAGAAAGGATAACAGAAAATACAAAGCGAGACTAGTTGTAAAAGGTTTTGCCCAAGAAAAAGGTATAGACTATGAAGAAACCTACAGCCCAGTTGTAAGTAATTCAACTTTACGTTTGTTATTTTCATTAGCTGCCAAACAAAATCTCAAATTAATGCAATTTGACGTTAAAACTGCTTTTCTCTATGGAAATTTAGATGAAGAAATTTATATGTGTGTACCTGAAGGGTTTGATCATAAAGATAAAGTTTTGAAATTAAGAAAGACTTTATATGGACTTAAACAAGCTCCATTTAAATGGAACCAGTTGTTTACAAACTGCTTACTAAAATATGGCTTAAAACAAACTCAGTCTGACCGTTGTGTTTTTACAAATGGCAGTATTCATCTTGCTATATTTGTTGATGATGGAATTCTTGCTGGTTCAGATGAAAGAGAGATGAAGAAACTTTTGAACGAGCTGTCTAGAGATTTTAAAATAAAAACAGATGAAAACCCATCAAACTTTCTTGGAATGGAAATTTTATATTCAAGGGAAGGGATATTGTTAACACAAAAGAACTATTCAAACAGTATTCTCGAAAAATATGGAATGATAGATTGTAAACCTGTAGACACTCCCATTTGTCCAGTGAAAACGAGCAAACCTGATGAAGAAGTAAGCTGCCTGACAAAAGATTATCCTTACAGAGACGTTGTAGGAAGTTTGCTGTACTTATCCAATAAAACCAGATCTGATCTTACACTTGCTGTGGGATGGGATTAGAAAGTAGATGTGTTGAGAATCCAAGCAATGAAGATGTTGTAAATGTCAAACGAACCTTAAGATATATTAAAGGTACTCAAGATGCAGGAATATTATTTTCAGCATCAGGAGAAAATTGCCTAAATGTATATTGTGACGCAGACTATGCAAATTGCAAGCATACAAGAAGAAGTACTACTGGATTTGTCATAATGTATGGAGAAGACCCAATAAGCTGGTGTACAAGAAGACAACCGATTGTAGCTTTGTCCAGCACTGAAGCAGAATACATTGCAGCGGCGGAATGTGTCAAAGAAGTGTTATATTTAAAAACTTTCTTGCAAGAGTTGAGTGGAACTAATGTTGAAACAAACCTAAACATGGACAATCAAAGTGCTATTAAGCTTTGTAAAAATGGAATTTTTAATAAGCGAAGCAAACACATTGATGTTCGCTACCATTTTTTTACTGAAAATGTAAGGCAAGGTAAAATAAACATTTCTTTTGTTTCTACATCCGAGAATGTTGCGGATATGTTTACAAAACCCTTGAACAATGTCAAGTTTCATAAATTTAGCAAAGCTTTGATCAACTATCCAAAATCTTGAACAGAAGACGATAATCGAGATATTTATTTTTTGTTTCTTGTATAAAATTAAAATTAAGGGAAGGTTTTGAATGTAATTTAATTTTATATAATATGTTTGCTGTTACTTTTTCTGTATTTTAATTTATGTTGGTAACAGCTGATCATGTGTAAATAGTTAGGATTGTTTTTATTGTAATGAGAATTGTTGAATAAGTTATGTTTGAGTAAAAAATGTTGTGTGTGTGTACTTCAGTAAAAAAATAGTATATTTCGTACCTAGGGCCGAAAATGAGGTTTTGCCGGCTCGAGATAGTTTTTAAGTTTGAGACGAAGTCGAGAACTTAAATCGATCGAGAGCTGCAAAACCATTTCGGTCCGTGGTACGAACGCTATTTTTCACCGCACTATACCCTATTACCACTATTCACCACTATAATAATGTACACTGATAGTCAACACAACTACAACTTTAAGGTTATGTGAAGAAATAATTTGAGGAATCAGCAAAAATAAAAATAAATAGTTGCTAGGCAACGGTGACAATAACACAATTCTATTGCAATGCTATGGATGTTGATTGTGTATTTAAAATGCATTCATGTTTTAAGTAAGTAAGCGGACAGCTGATTTTGCGGCCCCGGCCTGTAAAAACCTGCTCGGTCCCCAAATTACGATGACAGCTGGAGCTGGCATGGCCAGCAAAACGTAACTTTCAGCCACCAATTAACGTATGTAATACAGCCAAAAACATCATAGTGTGGTGAAAAAGATAATTATTGTAACAGTAAAACCTTAGGTGTTAGTAATTTACTTTCACTTAAGTCAACATAACTGTTGTTATATATAACTGTAAACAAGATCTAATTTTTATTAAGTTTGGTACATGTGTAAACCTAGTACATTTATTGAAATGAGTTTGTGAACTAAATAATTGGACAATGGAAACGGGGTTTTTTGGGGAGAAATTGTTTCCTCATATTTTTTACTCTCAAAAACCATAATAATTTTCCCAAATTTCTTTTGAAACCATTTTTTAGGGCGTACAAAACCAATTCTTATTCTATTGAATCATTTGTGTATGTTTTTTTTTTGTGGTTATAGTTAAAATTTACAAAAACACTCTCATTTTAAATTTCTATACAGTACTAAAATTTCTCTATAAAATACATTATATTACCTTCCCTGTAGTAGCTAATCTAAGTAACATGTTAAAACCTTATTTAGGTTTATTGTGATTAATTCTGAAATTTTTAGAAGATATTTTAGTAAAAATCCAATTAGGCAACTGAAAATTCACTTATAGGCTGCAAGTTTGTTGTACCATGGGACTGCTTTTGTTTTTTACCATAAAAGGTAAATCGTAAATACATTGTGGGCCTTATATTTTAGTGTATCCATGTAAATACACTTAAAATATTTTAGTGGAGCCGTAGCTTGGGGGAGTATGTTTTATCTATGGCCGTAGCCTACAAAATATATTTTTTAAGTTGCCTATTTAAGCGAATACAGTTTTTATTAGTTAAAAAAAAATACCCTTTAGGGTAGGCCCTAATAATTACAGTACCTATTGCATTTCATGATACCATAACCTAATATTGAAAAAGTAAACATTAAGTGGAAAATAAACATCATTAATTCCCAGACAGCACACTTTATCCCAGGGACATCCCATAGTAGTCCCATATGTCCTGAGAATGTCTCGGGATATGTGCGCTATCCTCAGGATATCCCGCAAAATCCCCGGACGAGTACGAAATCCACAGGATATCCTACAATATACCGTAATGTCCCGGGATTTGTAAGTTAACCTCAGGATATCCTGTAAAGTCCCGGGATATGTACGAATGCCTTAGGATATCCCAGAATGTCCCATGACATCCCGGGACATGTAAAAAATCCACTGGATATCCTGTAATGTCCCGTAATGTCCCGGTAACAAACTGAAGAAAAAATACTACCACTGATGAAATATCTAAATTTAAATGATCAACAAGGCCAATATATAATAATTTGTTTTTTTTCACTAGTGCTTTCAGAAACTTGGTTTCCATCTTCAGGCTGTGTTTACACTAGTACAGAAAGTAAATATTTACTTAATAAATTAATTTTAAACAAAGTTAAAACAGATGATTTAAAGGATATTGGAAAAATAAAAAATAATATTAGAAAAATTAATCTTTTGAATTTTGGATATGTTACAGTGTTGTTCTTGATGTAATTATTTTCAGTAATTCCGAATTTATAATTGGGCCGTCTTCATTATTTAACAAATAATTTTGGTCTGTTTTTTTTTCTAAAAATAAGATTCCCACGCATTAAGATGTTGAGGTTTTATAATTTATTTTAAAAGTTTAAGGTTTCCCAGATTGAAAATATGTCTTGTTAATACTATGGCTAGCAAGGGTTGACTTTACTTTACTGACATATTACTACCACTGAGTTCAGGAAAACTAGAGTTCTATCATAGTTGTGTGAAATGTGAATTTAATTCTAACTTTAAATTAATAAAACAACAAAAAACTAATTTTAATCATATAACAATCAATTATTACAGTGCTAATCTAATGGTGATTAAATAATCTATATTCAAATACCAGTATCCTCTCCAACTACCAGAAAAACAATTCAACTACTTGAGGCCTAAACAGATTAACAGAATCATATATAGCCTATACTGTAGTATCAAAAATGTTAAGTATTGCGACCATTGCAACTGTCGGCTACTCTTTAACCACTTGAAAACACCCATAATCAACAAGCGCAGATAGCTCAGGAGGTAAGGTAAGAGGCTCACAAGGCGAAGGTACCAGGTTCGAAACCCGTCTGGGCCAAAAACTTTTTTCTCGTTTTTTTCTTCAAAATTTGTGTTTATTAACTATTTAATCAATTTACTAAACTTATAATTAAGCTTTTCATACTAAATCTATATTATTTGTGTTTTTTATGTTCAGGCCCAGACCACACTTTATCCCAGGGACATCCCATAGTAGTCCCATATGTCCTGAGAATGTCCTGAGGACTACCCTGGGATGACCTCGGATGTCCCACGGATATGCGTGTGAGCTTATCCGTAGGACATCCCCGGGCGGGGACATTACGCATTCCTGTGGATATCCTGTGATATCCCAAGTTGACCATAGGACCACTATGGGATATCTTGCATATCCCGTCGCAATATCCGTGGGATGTCCTGAGGAGAAAGTGTGCTGTCTGGGTTGTGACAGCAAAATACATTGCAATTAATCAGACAAGTAATACGGTAATACTCACATAATACCACATGAACGATACTTATCATGGCACAGTACGTGATACAACAAAAATAAAATACAGACAGGAGGAGGAGGCAGTGGCTTAGACGTATACAGACAAGAACGTCAACGTCTGTCTGTGGCCAGGGTACCGTTACATACAGGGAGTGGGCTAACAGCTGACAGCCTGGCGAGTGGGGAGTGATCAGTGATGGCGCACACGCATTACAGACATGGTCAGTAGGTAGGTGGGTAGGTATAGCCACCAGGGGCCCATTTCATAATAAAGTACAAACTAATATTATTAGTAAATCAGCTGATCGCCCAATGCAAATCTAATGGAAATTACATTTGCCCTAGCATGTCAACAGCTGACTGCTGTACAAATTGGATGATACGTACAACTTTCCATAGCGTTAATATTGTTTTATTCGTTGTGCTACTGTCCACAAAGTGTATCTATGTGGAACTTAATACTGCCCCTGCCATCGCTTATTAAGTTTAATAAAAACTACATTGATGTCTGTTTTATGGACGAATTTGTTTTAAGGACGAAATGTACATTTAAATTTATTTTTCCAGGGTCCAAGGGGGGGGGCTTTAGCCCCTGTAGCCCCCCCTTGGAACCGCCACTGACGTTAACGAAGGCTGGGATGATATAGCTCCACCTGGGCGTCTGCAGGATTTCCTGAGCGCTTCTAGAGCTCTGAGCCTTCGATTAAATTTAAATAAATTGATCAGTCAAAGCCGTGACAACTTCGTATCGACCCCTGGATTTTTCTCGGCTCCTTCTGAGCACTCCGGGAAAGAAATTTGAGTGTGGCCAGTTCAAGGGGTAGGCCTAGCCTGACTTAGGTGAATACTAGTTTATTCCCCCCCCCCTAGAATTTGGTACCTCACAAGGGTACTTTGTTGTATATGTTTTGATTTTATTATATTAGTAGCCCTAAAAATGCAAGAAAATAATATATATATATAAATTTGAACGGATGCTATTTTTGGCTTCTAGGGACCTCAAAACGAAAAAAAATCGGTCCCGGGTCCAGGTCTTACCATGAGTACTACGGTAATAGCTTATTCCCTATATGGGAAATTCGCTAAAATGGACGAAATCTGGCTTAAGGTTATACTAAACATACCAAACTGACAATTTATAGTTAAAAATAAATTAAAACAGCATTGTATGATCTCGATTGATGTATAGTTACTCATAATTAGACTAAAAAATTGATTACCTACACAAAAATATTAATCAGAAAGCATTGCTAGACCTGTCTGCCACGTCGCGCCATAAACATCTCCGCACGTTTCACTTTTACCCAGTTGTCCAAATGTTTAGTTGTACTTCCGTCCGTGTTCGTGTTCTCCTGCTTCATGAAAATCTTCCATGTTTTAAAGTAACGAAATTGGTACCTTGAGGCCTGAAAGGTTTGGCCTGAGAGTCGAAACCGATATCTTAGATAGAACTACAAGAATATATCGCACGACAGTACTCTATTGTTTTGTAAAAGGTACCTAAACCACTAATCATTATCTTCTAGGCTATATAAAATCTAATGATTGTAGTATTCGTATGTTTGTCCTTTATGCGTTACCAAACAGGCCATCCGATCGTTATGAAACTTTGGAAAGTTTGGAAGGAAATACAAAGAAATGCATATTCCCGTTTACATGTAACTTTTATAAAATTAGAAATCGATTATTTTTTATACTTAAACTGCTCCTTACAAAATAGTAGAAGCCAGTAACTGAACGAGTTGTAGCGGGCTTGAGAATATCTCTTATATTAATACGTGAGGGCTGTTTTTGTGAACTAAACTCCTCCGTTATTTCTGGACCGATTCTAACGTTTGAGGTGTCAAATAAGTCGTCTCAATTTGTAGTTTTGCATACAGGTTTTAGAATGTAAAAACTCTTACCCTTAAGGGCACGAGGACGCTCTCAAAGGTCGCATTTACCCCATAAGAATTACACTGAAAACAAATTTAAAAACAAAAACAGCTGTATATAAAAAGAAACTCACCAGCTTTTTGGGAGTAAATATAGATTTTTGTAATATTTAGGAGGTTATAGACAAATCTAAACAGTCAATCAGTTTTGTTGGAAGAACTTATTTTGGAAGTAAAAAAAAAAACCATGAAGAATATACACATCATGTTGTCACAGTGGTAAAGTAAACCTACCTAAAGTCAGATCAAATAAATACATGCAAGAAATGTTTACTGGTA